TGGGGCGGCCTGGGACACGAGTGGGCTGCTGCCTTGTCCATTAGTGCCTGCAGGAGGCAGTCATGGCAACTTGGTGGCACCAGGATCCCCAAAGGAAAAGCAACCCCTTGCAGCACATGTGTGGACTCTCTGGCAGTGCACAGAACCCTAGGCTGTGCATGCAGGGCAGGTGTGGCAGGGAGAGCATGGCCTGAAATCCGGGGTCCCAGTCCATGTGTCCTGCACCCTTGTCCTTTTCGTTGTGCAGGGTCACAGGTCAGGTCCAGCTGAGCAACACCGGGGCAGGGCAATGGCCAGGATGAACACTGTGCCTGCAGAGATGAGCAGAGGAGTCTCCCCAGCAGCAGCATCATCGGGGGCTGGGCCAGGAGTGGTGGGGAAGGGCCCCTGTGGGGGACAGAAACCAAGAGTTTGGACGCCTGGACCCTATGGGATAGGCTGCATCCCTCCCGCAGACCCTCTGACAGTAGCCACAGGTCTACCAGTAAATGCGAATACGGCCAAAAAAAAAAAGACAATGAATATTTCATAATCATTTAATTCTGTTTCTATTTTTTATTGCCCTGAATTCTCTCAGTTTTTAATGTGGTTTCATACCAAAAGAGCCTCTAATTTTTTTATATTACCTCATTGATGATACTGAACCTTGAATTGCATCATCTCAAAATCACAGATCACTAATTATTATACAAATTCCAAGATAAAAACATTATCATTCAGGCTGGGTGTGGCTCAAGGGGTTGAGAGCCTACCTAGCAAGCATGAAGCCTTGAGTTCAAACCCCAGTATTGATTAAAATAAAGAAAAAAGAAATATCACTCAAAACATATTTTCTTTAATATATTTTTCTAAAGAGAATAAGCATTAATTTTTGTCTCCCACAAATATCTTTGCTTCCTTAAGACTCAGTAACTGATTCAGATATAGTTCACCCTGTTGATTTCTAATATAAAAGGAACTTATACATTACCTGGCCATTTTAATATCCTTTCCTACCATTGCCTTGGCCAACTCACTATGAATATCCATTGGCTGCAATATATGCATAGTTGATGGATGCTAAAATCATCATTTTCCACTTTCTCTCTTAAAAAATAATTTAAAATACTAAATGACTTTTGAAAATCAGATATTCTGTGCAAAACTATTCTATATTACTAGAAAATACTTAACAGGCATATTCAATGAATACCAACTTTTACTTCTTTCAGCATAAAAGTTAAATAATCTATATTTTAATGCAGATCTACAGAAGTCAAAGATTCTGATAAAAATAACTGGATATTTGAAGAATATTGATAGTGTATCTTGCATTTCAAAATTAATGGGAGACAAAGGAGGAATTTATTACCTCAACTCCAGAATTAGTGATCAAGGGGGTGACTACAATGAAAAGAACAGGGAACTACTTTAAGGATTTCTATACTAGGGCAGCTCAACCTGTATTAGTTTGTAGATACACTTTTCACATACTCAGAACAGCAAATGTAGTACTACAGAAATAAAGGGTAAACTAACATATAGTAATATTTAACAATAAAAACAGTGAGGGAAGAAACATTCCAAAAGGATTAGGACAGAGGTAGTTGAACCAACTGAGACTTCCATTTATGTCTGAGTGGTTTCATAGTCACATTACAAAGACACAGACCATGAGTGGGCTTAGATTCAAATGGTACCAGAACCCTAATATGAATAACCAAATTTCTATTTCTATCTATAAAGGTGACAGTGTTTGCACTGGTACGCCCCCATTTGATTTTCTAAAGTGACCAGCAGGATATGTATGTAAAATAGTCATCAGGGTTGATATACATGTGCAAATATATGCACATATATTACCAATACTACTCAAACTAATTTGAACGTCTAAAAGTTGAGCATTGGTGTTTACCTGATCTTATGAAGAGAAGCTGCACAGTCTTTATTTCAGTCTTTATTTTGAAGCTGCACATCAAACTTTCATATGCTTCATTATTTCTTCCATACATAAATTAGTAGTCTCCCATAAACCTCAATCATTACTGCTGAGCTAAAATGGAGGGAAAAGAGCCTCAATCTTTTTCTTAACAGAAATGTATATACATCAACATACTATAGATGCTTTTTATTGAAATCTAAAGTGAGAAGATTATCCTCAAGGAATACACATTTTACTAAATTTATTGGTAATCATTTGTAAATACTTTATTAGGAAACTAGTGTTTCAGCATACATCTTTACTGTTAGTGTAACAGGTGCTCACACTTTCATCAATGAATCACATGCTATCTGCCCCAAATAACCTGTCTAGAAGGGCAACTTTTCCTCTTCCTGACCCATAGATTCACCTTCCCTACTACTACCCTTGCACCCTTTACTATGAATAGCACAGTTTTGATGCTTTTCCCTCCTTTACCATGAAACTTATTAAGCTATTAGAATTTAGTTCTAATCTCTACTTCATTTTCCCTCTTCCCAACAGAATAAAGTATCAATTCAGGACTAAATTTCTGGAAATCATCAGAAATTTCCAGAGAGGCTTGGATTCCATGAGATACAAAATCCATAATGTAAAGAGTTCACTTACTGTACTTAGTTACTGATGACAGTTAAACATATATTCATATGTGTAGTTTTCTATTGTCAAAATATACAAGCAACAACTAACACTACATAAACTGTAAACAATGAAAACTAAGACTGCTTCTCTCCAACTAGGAAAACAGGGATGCAATCCGGTCCTCAATGTCAAATCTCCTACAATTACAGAAAATTCTGGATCTTTGTTAGTTTTAACAGACATACGATATATGTGAAATATTCTAAGCTAAGCTGGAAAAAAATTAGTGTAGGTTTAGTTCAAGTAAATTGGGGAAGAAAAAAAAAAACAAAACACCAAGGTATCAGATAGCTAGTTACCAAGCTTGTCAAAGATGGGCAGACAAAAAAGCATCTATACCTACCTGAAGTGTACCAAAATCTAAAATCAGAATATCTGACATTTCTTGGTGAAAACCTGTCTGAGGAATTACCAGACAAGGCTTTAGATTGACCCTTAAATCAAGGACTTTTCAAGGTTCAATAATATGTGTAAGTCCTAAAGAAGATCAAAAAATAAAAAAGATTAGGTAGTCAAGTTGAAATTTGTGATCATACTATTAACAAGGGTAACAATTTTCTTGAAAAATATTAAGGAAGAGTACAAATTTTTGTCTCAAATTAAGAATCCCAATTCAGCACAGAATGTGAAAACTGCATATAATCAATGGAAAACATCACATCATAGCATAACATACTAAACCCAACAGAGTATGTACCTAGGGATAGAATGATTTATTATTTCCTTGGTTAAGCAACTAGATAAAACAGTTGGCTTGAGTTTTAAGACCATGTAATACAAAAACACTATCTTTAAAACTAGAGTCACTCATGTTCAGCAGCTGAACAGCTGCTGAAGAACTGCAATGGAGGTAGGTTTTCCACCTCAAGCTCATTGTGAAGCATGGATTCCTGAATGTAATGCAGGCAGAATCATCTGTACCCACGTTAATTCTCTTTCTACTCAGGCCAACAATCATATTGAACTTTGAATACGCCATGACCACTGAACAATACAACACCAGTTTACAACAGAAAAAAAGCAACCTATTCTACTTTACATATACTGTTTACAACTGTGCTTATGTAGACAGTCAAACTCACCTTAGCTGTTCTTGCTTTAACTTCTTCCAGCTTTGTCAATGTAGCTGATGTTATTTGCTCAAGATCCAAACCCTTGTTTGAGCGAAAGAATTCAATCACTGCATTGATGGTTGTCTATAAAAGGATTATAAAATATAAAAACGTTATACATAATTCTTTCTCCATTATAAATTTGAATGGTTCACCTCCATTCTAAACAACTGTGGCTTTGAACTGAGGAAGGAATGCAAAGATATTTTGTCCTACTGCACCTCTCTGGGTGAGAGAGCCTTGAGAAAGGAACAGGCAAGTAAACTTGCTGGAGGGGAGCAGGCATGTGCACATGATTACAGAAGCAGAGACACTCCGGAGGGACATATGGAAAAAGCAACAGACATTTCTTCTAGTTTGGACCTCTGATTAGTCAGAACTCCACTTCTCAACATTAACTGGGGAAACTTTTAGGAAATAAAAAAAAAAAGAGAGAGAAATACAAATCATTTTAATAGACTCATGTTCTCCTTGCACTTAGAGCATCATAAATGACCTCCACAGGCTGAGACTGAATGATGAGAGTCTGGTCGGCAGGACTGTCCTCTGGATTGGTTTCAAACTCAGTTTTAAAGAAGGGCAATGCAGTATCAGGCAACTGAAGCTACAAGTGATGGTAAATATCTTGCTTCAGAACCTATTATATATCAGTGTTCTGATTTTGCTTCTACTTTATGATCCAATTAAGAAAAGGGAAGCAATAAGATCCTTTATAATGCAATGGATTAAATCCCAAGTTTTTCCTTTAAGAACTCCTTTGAGAGACAAATGTTTGCCCACTGCCTCAGCCTGGCATTCATTTATGCACATAATCTGCTTTTGTTGCTGCTGTTACTGTTGTTATTAACTTCTCATCAGCCACATGAAAGACCCAGTTTAGCCAAGCCCAGAACACTACAGAAGTTCTGATCACTGCTGTAGGCATAAAAGCTCATGTGTCACAGTGTCACAGACCACATGTCCCCATTTTCATGTCACTCTCATGCCTCTACTTCCTCCCTAGGTCTCCCAGTGTGCTTTCCATTCACTAGCTTAACCTTCCTCCAGGCTCAGTTATTCTCACTCACAACCAAGCCTGCATAGCACTGTGAGATTTTTAATGTCACAGCACCTATTCACTTGAGTTATGTAATATGCTACATAGTTCTTAAACTATTAACGTTCTATATATCCTCTCTGATCAACTGCAATATAAACATCTTGAAAAAAGAAACTTACTGTACATATGCACAGTTTTCATGGTATGGAGACTATACATAAATTATTATATGATAAATGTTGTGCAGGAAAGGATGAAGGGTGGAATAAATCATGAATTATATTGTTCCATTATAAAACAAAACATAAAAGACTATCCTGGCACACACCAAGAAAAGGAATTAAAGAAGAGCTATTACTAACTCAGTTTTTAATGCTGAATAACGTTCTACATTTTTGGCCTAGAATCATAATTAGAAGTAAACACTGAAGTTTTTAAATTTACCTTAGAGCTTGTGCTCCTGGTCGCTGAGATACATGGGTGCCCAGGTCAATTATCTGAATTTTAGTATTTCTGGAATATTTTTGTTTTCTCTGAGTGTGACAGAGGCGCTTACTAACTTCAGGGTCATTATGTGGGCAACATACTAAATACAGAAGGATAAATGAAAACTGTTAGAGTTTAAATAATTGTTTTAATAGTTTCTTCTTAATTAAATATGTTGAATTAAATGGTGATCCAACCAGGCACGTTGGTTCTGGTATCCATACACTCACAATAAATGAACATTAGAAAACTCAATGAAACTGCCTATCCCAAACAGAACATTTCCAAAAGATCAAAAGTTCCTTTCTCTTAGTTTTGAAGGTGATAATGAAAAGACAACAATACGTTTTGTGGCAGAAAGATTCAATTCAGCAGTTTTCACTAAAGTAAACTAAGTATTTCTGATCAATCCTCTGAGGAAAAAGAAAAAACACTTTGAGATTATCTGTTTAGAGAATTAACAACACACACACATATCTAAAAATCGCTGAGTCAAGACTGGAGATAAGACAGAGAAACACCAGGGAGATGACTCTGGAATTTGGGATCTGGAGAAATGTGAAAATTTAAGAGTTGGCAACTCTGAGCCTGTGAAATGAGACTCATAGTGCAGAAACTGGAAACCAAGTCCCACCAAAGAGCAAGGGCACTCTCAAAACTTCTTTTCTTCTGGCTGGGACCCTAAAGGACTAACTCCTGGGAATAAAGGTGAATTGGAAGCAGACAGACCACAGATCTGCATTATAGCACCAAATCATCTCAGTCCCTAACATGAGATATTCTGATCCCATTTGCTGGTACTGCAGAGCCACCATCTCTGTTTAATTTCCCTCTGCTTAATTTCTCCATCTATTATGGAGAAAGATATTATTTCTCCATTTCTCCAACAGAAAAAAACAAAAACAAAAACAAAAAAAACCCAGGCCCAATATTTATAAAAACAAACTTCAGTATGTTCAATAAACAGAAAACCACACAGAAATAACAAAAACCAGAAGCAAAATCACAGAAGCTCCATACATCAAGTTTTAGACCTACTTAGGCACCAGCTTTGTTTACTAGGTTCAAAGAGATGAGACACAAAACTGAGTATTCTAGTTCATGATCTCAAAGCTATTAGGAAAAAAGAAACAAATGGAAATTTGAGGACTAAAAAATACAAAAAAAAAAAAAAAAACCCCAAACCCGTAAGAATTAAATGCATGAGTTTAACAATAAACAGCCCAAGAGAGAATTGGAGGAAACTATCCAAATGAAGAATGAATAAGTAACTTGGAGATGAAGAAGAAACAAGAAACTCATGAGATACCACGAGAAGATCCAACATACATTGTTACTCTCAAAAGTAAAAGAGGAAAAGAATGATGTAACAGAAACAAAATGAAGTGATAAATTTTCCAAATTGGTGAGACCTCATGACACATGCTAGAAAAGGAAGGGAGGAAGGAAGGGAGGAAGGAAGGGAGAGAGGAAGGAAAGGAGGGAGGAGGAAGGGAGGAAGGGAAGAAGGAAGGAAAGGAAGGAAGGAAGGAAGGAAGGAAGGAAGGAAGGAAGGAAAAAAAGGAAGAAAAGAAGGAAGGCCAACTGGCCAGCCAAGGGCTGGGATGTAGCTCAGTAAAGTACAATTGCCTAGCATGCACATGGCCCTGGGTCGCATTACCAGTATAAAAAAATTCAAACCATTTAAACGAAAATGAATACATTATGTAAAACTACATAAATCTACAGTAAAGAAATTACCTTAAAGATCCATAAAGGGCAGAGATGATTGGAAATGATAATCAAAGTGATAGAATAAAACTCACAAGAGAAACAATGGAGACCAAACTGCAACACAATTGTATACTCAAAACTTTGACAACAAATAATTAACAACCTAGAATACTAAACAGGCGAGGGGGGGGGATATCCAACAAGAAAGAATAGAAAATAGGTATTTCCAGAAAAACAAAAATTACAAAAACTAATTTTAAGTATGCCATCATTAAAAGGAAAGCGATAATGAACATTCATTCTTCAAACAAAACAGAAATAATGACAGATTGATGGTCAGAAAGACAGAAAGGAACTAAGTGACTAGAATATCCAAGTTGCTACAATTACTATTCTCCCAAAAATAATCTCCACATTCAATGTAATTTCTAACAAAACTGTAGAATGTACTTTTGAAAACACAGGTAAGAAGAACTAAAAGTTCAAACAATCTAAAATAGTCAAAGCACCCTTTAAAGAAGAAAAAGGAAAGAAAACCGAGGCCTGTAGATGTAGCTCAGTGATAGAGCACTTGTCTAATAAGGATGAGGCCCTGGGTTCGATTCCTACCACTACAAAAAGAAAAACTGGAAAGAAAACCAAGTTGATGGTCTTACTAGAAACTATAATAATCTAGGTGGGGTAAGGGAGACATTAGTGTGAGCGTAGAAAAGAGTTCAATTAAAGAGAATCCCACAACACACCCACATACATGGAGGCAAACTATTTCCAAGCAAAGGGCTAATGCGATTCAACAAGAAAAACACAAAAGCCTTGCAAATACTGTTCAAAGACCTGACTGGGCATAGGGAAAAAATAAACCTTAACCTTGACCTTGGTGCCACTCTAAACACTAAAAGTCATTTTAGATGGATACAAGACTAAATATAAAACCCAGAACAGCATAACATTTCTAGAAAGAAAACACAGGACAGTATCTTTGTGATTCTGAGGTAAGCAAAGATTTACTGAACAGATCTAATGTTAGTACCAACCAAAAGAAAAACATCAAAACACAGTTTTCTCATAAATAACCACAATTAAGAAAATCAACAGGCAAGGCACACACTGAGAAATATGCGCACAAATTACAATGTCACGTAACTCTACATGTACATACGACAAGACTTGTAAGCAGAATAGGGAAAGAATTTCCACAAAAATAAAAGGAAAACAACTCTGTTTTTAAGTGGGCAACAAACACTGTACTAGACATTCCACAAGTGAACATAGACAGATGTCAGTAAGACATGAAGAAAGGCACTCTGTTTGTCATCAGGAGAATGAAAATGAAAGCTATGGTAGAGTTCCATGTCGTCCCCAACAGAATGGCTAAAAGTAAACAGCTTGAAAATACCAAATGCAGCAAGGAAGTGGGGAACTGGAATGAGTGGTAGGAATATAAAACACTATAACCAGTTTTGGAGAATTACTTGCCATCTTCTTAAAAAGTGACACATATACCTACCCTATGACTCAGCAATTCTGTTTCTAGGTATTTATGAAACAGAAATGGAAATATATGTACCCAAAAAACTTATACAAGACACTTGTGAAATAGAACAATAAAATCTCTTGCAACTGCTTTAAGTGGGATGGGGCAGGGGTTGAGGAGGAATGGTGGGGGTCATCTAATCAATATACAATGTAAGGCTATTCAGAATTGGGAATTATCAACATAAATCCCCCCTGTACAATTAATATATGCTAATAAACATGAAAAAGTTATACAAGAATGTTAACAACAGTGTTATTAACAGCCAACAGCAAAAATATATACAGTACATGGGTGGAATATTATGGTATATTTATGCAATGAGATATGATTCAAGAATTAAAAGGAAGTATCTAACAAAGCACAAAAAACATGGATGAATATCCAATACATTATCTTAGAAACAAACTAAGTATGAGCAGGAAAAAGTTGCAATGCTGACGAAGTGATAAAGTGGTTGCTTTTAAAAACAAGTTAAGAAAAATGACTGGAAAAAGTTAGCAGGGAATTTTTGGGGAGGATGGAAATGTTCTTTTCCAAAATTTGCCTCCAGATCAGTGATCTTTATGGCTTGTAAATTCTACTTCAATCAAACTTTAAAGACATTTATAGCACAATGAAAAAAGACATTAGAGAAAACCATAAAACTTCACCAAGAGGAATGGAAGAGGCAAATAAAGAGAGGCGTATGCTATATTTACAGATTAAAAGACATAAAAATATCAATTCTCCCTCAAATTAATTTATACACTCAATAAACACCCAATGAAAATCTTAATTCTTTTCGTAGAAACTGACCAGCTGATTCTAAAACTTAATGAAGTTTGAAGAGCCAAGAAGAGATAATGCAATCATAAAGAAGACCAGAGCTGAAGGACTTAGGCAGCTCGTCCACAGGACTAATTACATATTACAAAATGTTCCATTTTTAATCAATCAAATAAGCAAGACATTTTAGTTTTAGTCACTCTTTTACATATCAGTTAAACTTTGCAATAAAAAATTTTAAAGAATTGATTTAACACTCTAAGTACTTTTTGCTTGGTTAGATTCACATTCACTAAGGTAATTAAATCTAAAGTTGAAGAGAGAATTTTAATTGGTAAGGCCTGACTGAAAGCATCAATTAAATGCCAAAGCAGAAACTAATGATAAAATATTTCCTTTAGTCATTTAAAAGTCAAAAATTTACTTCAATCAAAATACAATAAAATGAATCAAAATGCCTGTTAAGCCACCCTAATAATTACCTGCTTGGGTAAAGTTAAGTTAAAGTGTTCTCACTATAACCAATAGCAGGAAAGAGTTTATCTTTTTCCTCTGGAGTCATAAGGTCAGCTGTAGCTGTAAAGAAAAAGCAGTAACTTAAGAAATTATTTTCTTCATCTTTATGGAGACAATATAAATAACTCAAACCAAAGTAACAAGTATCCTAAAATCAAAATATACAAATGCTAAAGCAAAATCCACTAGGCAGTTTCCACTAATACACTTCACACATCCTGTATTTGCCTGTTTACTATGAAGCAAATTCAGTTTACACATAAGGATTTTAAAATTCCCTACAAATGTCAAAACTCAACTGTCATTAAATATTCACATAAACGTTAATAATACGGAATGCTAAATGATGAGAACATTTCAAATTTTGCACAAAAAAAATTTTCCCAAAGAAAATTTTGCCATATATGCTTATATCTGAGCAGACTAAGAAATAATCTGCAGTTTTTTCTTATCAATAAGCAACAAATTACCTGACTTGGTACTTACTTTCAGGAATGAATGATTCTTCATCTTTTTTTCTTGAATCCTTTCTCCAAAACCTACTAAATCAGCCTGGCACATTTCCCTCCTGTGTCAGCAGACTTTTTCCTTAATTTTTTGGTCCAGACTGAATCACCTAAAAATTTTTTCAAAAATTAAAAATTGCATCAAGACTAAGTGCTATGTTCATTTTCAGGTGTAGCCATGTTCAATTTTTTGTTTTTTGAATCACTAGTAAGAGTAAAACAGGCAAGGAAGCCAATTCCTCCTGAAATGATGGTCAAGATATATAAAATTTATGCACTACATGTAATGATAGCATTTTGAGTAGGCTTCATTTTATCAGCAATGCAGTTAAGGTTTCAAGTAAAATTTTTCTGAGCATTGTGACTCACAGATTTTTAAGAACCATTACAACTTCTGGTTAATAGAATGAAAAGATACAAAACTGGAAGATGCTTCCACATCCAAAACATACTAGCTTAAAGCAATCATTATTTTAGAATTCATAGATATTGCTGCCTTACTAATGAAAGGACATGGCAGGGAAGAAGAGATACAGATAAAAACAGAATAGTTCTTTCCTCAAGTCCTAACTTGTTTATATACTGCTCCTTCTCAATGCCTACTTTTCAGATGAGGAACCAAAAAGCAAACAACAGAGGAATAAAGAAAATAAAGGAGAGAAGTAATTTAGACTTTATGTTCTCATTCCCTGAAAAAGTAAACTTCAATTAATGTTCCCACTCAGAAAGTCAGGTATTTTCAATTGATAGCAAATTAATAATATGTTGTAAATCTTTGTGTGTAATAAGAAATGAAACAATCCCAAAGAGAAGTAAAAGAAAATATTAAATTCGGTAGTAGAGAAAACAGGTTTGATTAGTGAATGTAAAGAGTAAGCATGGGGAAAATGTTAACATTTTGTCACAAGCCACACAGGAATGCACACATTCGAGCTCTTGAATTTGCAAATTGAAACTGAAGGACAGATCTACTACAATGAATACCACAGCTTAGTGTTGTTTAATCTTTGCTGTGCATAAGAATCATCACTAGGCTTTGAAAGGGAAACAAAAAACCCCACAAATGCCAAAGCCCCAGTACATAGCACTTAAATCCCATCTCCAGGGTTCCAGGTTTCAGCATTTTGTGAAGGAACATTCCCCAGGTGGTTTCTAATTGCAGCCATGGTTCAGTACCCTGAGATAGCAACAAAGGAGTTTCTTTCAGCAACAGAGAGCATCATACCAGGGGTCTGCCTGCTTCAACAGCCACAAGTAGAAGAAACTGAGCTCTGTTGGAACATTCAACTAAACGCACACCACTTGAGCTTTTAAGGCTGTGAATACTACCAGTTCTTTTAACAAAAGTGCAATCAAGGCTGCAATCTAAAAAACCTAAAAAGAAGAAAAGGCCACTATTAGCACTAAAATCTTGATTCAAGGTGTGATCAACATGTTACGAATTTCAAGAAATTTCAAAGTAAACTCAAAACTTAGACTTAATAGAGAAAAGGCAGAAGTGAATATGAAAGCACAATTAAAGATAATAATTTCAAACAATGACAAAGTGTATGAAGAAAATAAAATAAAAATATTTTTAAAGCTTTTCTATATGTTTGCAACAATCACTAAAAAATTCAAGAATTACCATTTGAAATGAGACCTGTCATAAATTATACACTAAAATATTACCAAATTCTTGGTTTTGATACGATACTAAAATAAATTATGTAAGATGTAATCACTGGGGAAAGAGGGTGAGGGATACACAGGACTTCTGTGAAGTATCTTTGATACTTTCTATGAAATAGTAATTATTTCAAAGTAAAAATATATATATTTTACCTATGTATGACCAAAACTACATTAAAATACACATTTAAAACAACAGGAAGATGGATGAAAAACACTTTCGCTTTTTCCCAAATAATCCTCTGTTGCCTTCATTTCCTTCCATGACCAGGTGAGAGTCCATGACAAATATTTTGAGTCCTCAGTCTGTATTTAAAACTCTCTAGCCCTATGTACTATCTATCACAATGAACAAATGCCAATCTTTGAGGAATCTAATTGTTTTCTCTTCTCCTACATCCTTGCTTGTTTGCCCACTTTGTCCAATAATTAATCCTCCGCCAATGTTTAAGCAACTGTAACTGGTTTTAAGAACACAGAATTAAGGGTTGGGGATGTAGCTCAGTGGTTAGGTGTCTGTTTGCATGGAATGTATAAGGCCCTGGGTTCAATTCCCAGTGCCCTCCCCCACCAAAAAAAAAAAAAAAACCCACAGAATTAAACTGAAACTACTTAAAGGGGATTAAGCCATGTTTCCTCCACCAATTCATCCCTATTTCATGATAACAATCAACAGCAGTAGCAAACACCTTTTAAAATATTCATGTTCCTGGATACAACAACTGTACTTGACCAATTTGTCCTTACGCACATAAGAGATACTTCTGAAAATGTGCATCAAAAGCTATTTATTATAATATCACTTATACTTAACAGTGAGACACAATGAAATAAATTCTGGTATGTACACAGAATGGAATACTATTCGGTTGTTTAAAATGATGTAAAAATAACTCAACTGACATTGGAAATGAAACATTACAATATTTTTTTAAACAGAAAGGAAAACAAGTTACACACCTTCTTTTGGCCCCACATCCCCCACCAGTTGCCACTCCATTTATCTGCTCCCCTTACAGTCTCCAGTTTCTAATTTTTCATTCTCTCTAATAACTATCATGTTTCTGCCCACTACTCGATTAAAATTACTCTTTATTACTAAGTCCACTCATAGATAATGTTTCCATTCCATAGTGACATAAAGTCTTCTTTAGTCCTTCCTTTCTACTAATTACAAATAAAACTTCTGGACAAAATACAAAGTATTTACCTGAAACTCTGAAAAGTGGGTAAAGCAGTAGATGGTGGAAAGGAGTAAAAACTGGAGAAGTAATCTGCACAGGAATAAGTTTCTTATGTCTTTAGTTTTTCTCACATGGTGTGCCCTATGATCTCCTACTCCTTCCCTTCAGTCTTCCCTTCAGACCTATGATTTCTTTTAACCAACAAAAGGTGGCATAGGTAATGAGCTACATTTTATTAAGTGGGTAAGTTTGCAGCAGTCCTCTTGATGGACTCTCTTTCTCCCTATGAACAAGCAAACTGCCATGTCACGGACAGTCTATGTAGGGAGGCCCAATGGAAAGGAACAAAAGATGATACATTAGGAGTTGAAGTAGCTTCTAGTCAACAAAACTCTGGTCTTCCATCCCAAAGCCACAAGGAGCTAACTTCTACAAAAGCAATTGGAGCCTCTGTCAGCCATGCTTCGGAGAGTATGATGGTCCCAGCCAACATCTTGCAATAGCTGAGGCTTGTAAGCAGAAGGCTCAGATCTGCAGAAACTCTCAGGTAACAAGTGTATTGTTGTAAGCCTTAAGTTTCCTACATGGCCATAGAAAAGTACCACACCATGGGAGAATACAGGAGCATTTGAAAGACAGCTATACAAGGAGCTAAAACCCTGAGAAAAACTCTATTTGTGGCCAGTGAAGCAGAGGGCATAGGGAGAAATCCCAAAGAGAAAAGACCAGAGGTGGGGAATCTCTCAATTCTGTGTAGGAAGTTATCCAAATCTCTGGCTAACTCAAAACTCGCATCTATGAAACTGACCCAAACCAAAGCAGCTAAGATTCAGAGACCTGAACTGAAAGACAAACCATCTGTACAAGTCTCCAACTAAGCCCTATAAAATTCATGTGCAGAACAGATCCAAAGCTACAAAAGAAAGACTTGGGACTGAATTGAGACTTGAACCATCTCACACAAGGCAAAACACAACTCAGGATCAGAATCTAAACAGGCTGTGTACTAACACAAAATACGAAAAATATCTAGAGGATTATATAATAGGACCCAGAGACTAAATACTCTAACAGTTGTAATGTCAAGAATACAATCCAAAATTATTTAACACAGAAAGACAAAAACAAATTTTAAAAAATGAGAAAAATACGACTGATTTTCATGGAAAAGAATATCAACAAATGCCAACAATGAGCCACTTTAAGTGTGTGATGTGAGGTAAGGGAAAATACATGTGCAGTTGCTAAAAAATTGGAATTTTTTTTTAAATTGGAATTTTAACAAAGAAATGCAAACTATTAAAAAAAATTCAAAATGAATTGTCCCTTTTAAAAATACAGAATCTGAAATTTAAAACTCCTAGGATGGGAGATGACAGAATAAAGAGTGAACCTGAGGATGTATCAACAGAAATTACCTAACCTAAAAAGCATAGAGATTAAAGACTGGGAAATAAAAAAAAAATGAACAGGGTTCAGTGACCTATGGCACAATATCAGAAAGTCTAATAAACATGTATGTCATATATAATATACATATGCAAATATAACATATATGATAGCTTCACCCATGTCTTCAAAAATATAATGTGCATATTATAGATACATGTATAGACATCATTTATACATATATAGTTATAGTATATGTATACATTGAGATATGTGCATATATGTATTTTATATAATAAATAATGTGTGTGTGCATAAAATTAAGAGTCTAAGAAGGAGAGAAGAAAGAAAAAGAAATTAGGGCCAAAAAATTATTTGAAAAACTAATGCCTAAAAACATCCCAAATTTGGTAAATTTAAAGATCAGTTCACAAGTGACCAAACAGATGCATCTGTTACAGGTGATCACCTCTTCTTGAAATTCTTTCGCCAAAGGTATTCATACAGCTTCCCTTCATCATCTCTGGCAACTCCTTTATGGTCACCTTTGCTGGATCTTTCCAATTTATCTGACTGTTACAACAGAATGCTTTGGACTTTGGAATGATCCTTTTCTCTAGCTACTCTAATTCCTTCAGTGATTTCATCCAATCTCATGCCTATAAATGTCATGTATGGGCTGACTACTCCTAAATGTGCACAGACAGCACAGACTTCTCTTCTGAACTCCATATTTACACTCCTATATCCAATCAGGAACTCCTGATCTTCTCCCACCTCATCCAAGCTTGTTCCATCCAGTCTTCTCCATCTCATTTGATGGCAACTCTATCTTTCCACTTTCTTTAGGCCAAAATCCTCCAAGTGTCTTTGACTCTCTCTTACATCTAACCAGTCAGCAAATACTGGCTCAGTTTTCAAAATGTATCCAGATCTGACCCTTTTCATCACCTCCATTGCAACCATTTTCAGTCAATGACGTCTTTCCTCAATTATTTCAATAGCATCCTAACTTACCTCTATTCTTGCCTTTGCTACCATATAATCAAACCAGATCATATAATCCTGTTCTCAAATCCTATTAATGGAATTCCAATTCAAAAATAAAGGCCAAAATCCACACCATAACTTATAAGATTCTACCAAATCTGGTATCTTCCCAAATCCCATCAGCATCCCTCCCACAACTCTCTACTTCCTTATTCTCTGACCACATTGGCCACCCATACAACTCTCGTTGTGAAAACTGCTGAGCTAGTTATACTTTGTTTTTTCTGCCTGGTTAAACTTTACCCTAACACATCTTTCTGGCTGACTCCCTCAAATGTCAAATGTCTACTTCATAGTGAAGCTTTCACTGACCCCCCCAGCATAAAACTGCAACCTCAATTATCATCACTGCCTAGCCCTAGGACTCTCCTGCCTATTTTATTTTTAATTAATTATATATTATCCTCTCCTACTACCATTTAAATAAGGGATCTTGGTCTTCTTTTCAGTTCTGTATGCTAATACCAATGTTAATAATGAGGAGCAAAACATCACTTCTTTAGTAATTACAAAGGGCCAGACACATAATAATCTAAGTGCTTTAAATGGATAATCATGTACTCCTCACATTAACCGTATGATATAGTAAATTCCATTTTACAAATGAGGAAAATGAAGCACAAGGAGACTAAATACCTAGACTCAAAGTACACAATTACTAGATGGCAAAACTGGGATTAGCAGCCATATTCACTGGATCCTCAAGGCACACATTTAACCATAACCTAAAATGACAGGAGCTCAATGAGTATTCACGAAATAAAATGTAAGTGTATGTGCTTTAACTGCATTTAAAAATGAATATGGACTGTGAGGATAACTCAGCGACAGAGCACTTTCCTAGCATGTGCAAGGCTCTGGGTTTGATGGATCTCCAGCACTACCATAAAGTAAAGTGTGTGTGTTGAGATATATAACTATAAAAATGACTACAGGGAATGAAGAAAGATAAGAACAGTATTGAGAGAGGTAAAGAGTATGTGAGATGACTTTCTATTTTTTATACTACTACTACTACTCAACCTCAAGAATATTTTCTTTAATTGACTCTAAGATTATATGTCTATAATTAGTTTTCTA